GGCTACATGGTAAGGTGAATGCTACAGGCCTCTCAAACGGCTACATGGTAAGGTGAATGCTAATGAGCATCAGAAACTCCTTCAGTAGCATGCTGTTCCTTCCCTACGAGCATCACCCAGTCAGCCAGTCATTTTTATACAAAACAATGCCCCTTATCACACTGCCAAACGGGGGAAGCAATTCCTCAAAGTGAGAACATCAAGGTGATGAAATGACCAGCCTGGAGTCCTGATCCTGAATCCAGTCAAGGATCTCTGGAAGGTAACTGGCAACAAAATTATGGCAAACAAACCCACTACAGTTACCAAACTGTGGAAGAAACTAGAAGATGAGGGGAACAAAATCAAGTCAGAGCAGTGTGAGAAACTAGGGATGTCCTGTAGATGTCAGTTGTAGGTGTCAATCATTCAAAACAAGGGCATCCATGCTTCCTATTAATTTCTGGAACTTGTAACCATCAAAAAAATAGTTGATAGAATTCATTTGTAGACTTCTTCTGTAAAAAAAGTTCAATCATTGTCTAATTTTGGTCGCATGCCTTCTTCAAATGTCATTTAAACCATTTATTTTGTGATATGGCATAGCTTTCACTGATGAAATATGATTAAAATAAATCTATTCACGTTACAATAATGTTGAACATGAATAAGCTGTGATTACAAAAAATTGCCACTGCATGTACAGTACTGGTTTGGAGGACGCCCAGTATGTTTACCGCAGCCTCTCACATGACGCCTCGCGGTGATCTTTGTATCTTGCGTTTCCCGTATCTTTTTGTGCCGTTTTAGTGCCCTAACCTGGTACTAAAATCCGAGACACTTTGCTTCGCTTTGCTTATTACCATTATCATTACAGTTGCTGGACCCTATGTGATATTTATTTCTGCCTACGAGCCTGTAATGGCCTGACCTAAGCCTGATGACCCGATATTGTCAGGTCACACGCCCCAGGTTGTCAGCTCTACCTCCTCCTGTTTCCTGTGAGCGTTGATCTCACCTGAATTTCATGTCACATGATCAGGCTGAGTTGCATATTGTGTTTCCTCCGCCTTTCTTTGTGAGGCCTTGCATGCTTTGTGACGGGTCCTTTGACCAAATCTTACGGTTTCTTTCTTTTCCCTTCTCCTCTCTCCCTGTTCTGCTCCTTCTATTTTTCTTTATTGATTTTCCCAGTTGAATACTCAGGAAATCTTCAGGTCTATGCACCCATTCCCGCTGTTTGGTAAGTGCTCTATTCTGTCACCGGTGAGCCCTGTAATGAATGATGATTTCCCACAGTTCTGTATAGGTTCGGCATAAGTGCTCATTTAGCCCGGCACCGATTTTATCAGATGTAGCTGTTATTGATGGTCACATCATATTTTTATCTTTATTACTCTGGCAATAAATGACATTATCAATGAAAAAATGCCTTCCTGACTATTTTCGTGGCAATGGAACCTCATCTTTGTCTCCTCATAATGCCTAGTCAATCATTTCAATTACCAGCGACCTTCAGTGTATTTTTTATTAGCATTACATAAAGGTTTTCAAGTGTATAAAGAATTGTACAGTAGAATAATTGCCTACCTGTACCATAAAATGGAGGAACTTGTGCAGACTGATCAAAAAAGCAGAGTATTCTCAAAAACATTTCATTTTCTGTTGCTGTTCAGTTTTGCACACCGTCCCATCCCCTCCTATCTCTGTGTGTCCCTGTCCCTGTTAACTGGGTAGAGTTGGGCTTCCTCTGTCACACTCTATGAGGCACGGGGAGGCTGTTCCGAGATGAAGAGCTATGTTGCAGTGACTCTGTTTTGCCACTGCAATTGAACGACAGCACTGTCCCCACGGAGCCTCAATGCAACTGGTTCTTCTAATAAAACTGAATTTGCTGGTATGTATAACTGGAGGAGTCCTGAGGATAATGATGGGGGTCTCAGATATCTGTGCCTGTCCCTGTTAAGGTGGGGTCCTTCTATTTGAATTGGTCTTGAGTCTATACTAGGACTTACCGTACTGTGCAAAAGTCTTAGGCGGTTAAAGAAAATGTTTCAGGCTATTTAACTGGGCAGTAAGTGCACAGTTGTTCAAAAAAAAAGCACAATTTAACTTTAGAACATATGCAAATGAACAGTAACAATGGAGAAGAATTTCATCTGTTCTCTAGAGTTACTGATCTTGTTGGATGGTTAGAAGAACACTGCTTCAGTTACCAAACCTCTCCACAGGGACACCCCAGTCATCTATTCATTATCTGCTGCTTATCTGGGGTCAGGTCGCGGGGCCAGCAGTCTAAGCAGGGTTGCCCAGACCTTCCTCTCCCCAGCCACTTCCTCCAGCTCCTCCAGGGGAATACCAAGGCGTTCCCAAGCCAGATATAGAAACGTGACTGGGTGACTCATGTCCTGGGTTTGCCCCAGGGTGTCTTTCCGGTTGGACATGCCTGAAACACCTCCCCAGGAAAGCATCCAGAAGGCATCCTACATAGATGCCTGAACCACCTCAACTGGCTACTTTTGATGCGGTGGAACAGCAGCTCTACTTTGTCTGAGCTCCTCATCCTATCTCTAAGGCTTGATTGCAGGGTGTCCAGACACCTTGCAATCAAACCCATTTCTGCCGCTTGTATCCACAATCTCACTCTTTCGGTCACTACCCAAAGTTGGTGAGGGTTAGGGTGAGGGTTGCTTTCTGGCTCAGCTCTTGCTCCACCACGACAGAACAGTAATAGCATCCATAATACTGCCAACACTGCATGAATCCATCTGTCCATCTCACACTCCCTCCTTTCTTTATTCATGAACAAGATATTTAAACTCCTCCACTTGAGGCAGTAACTGATCTACCACCAGAAGTGGGCAATCCACCGTTTTCCAATTGAGAACCATGACCTCAGACTTGGAGGTGCTGATCCTCATCCCAGCCACTTCGCACTCAGTGGCAAACCGCCCCAGTGCCTGCTGCAGGTCATAGCCCAGCGACACCATCAGGACCACATCATCTGCAAAAAGCAGATACCGCTGCTCCGCTCCTTGGCTTTGCCTAGAAATTCTGTCTATAAAAGTTATGAGTGGAATCGGTGACAAAAGGCGGCCCTGGCAGAGTGCAACACCCCCTGGGAACAAGTCTGACTTACTGCTGGCAGTGTGAACCAAACTCTCACTCCGTTTATCCAGGGACATAATGGCCTGCGACAACAGACGCCAAACCCCTAAAGCACCCTTCACAGGATCCCCCAAGGGACATGTTCATATGCCTTTTTGAAGTCCACAAAACACATGTAGACTGGTTGGTTAAACTCCCATGAACCCTCCAGTATCCTCTTGAGGGTGAAGAGCTGGTCCAGGGCTGCACAATCAGGACAGAATCCGCATTGTTCCTCCTGAACCCGAGGTTTGACCACAGGCCACAAGTAGTTTTTTAACTACTTCAGTGATCTCTGCCCTAGAGCTAGGTGAGCCCCCTCTGAGTCTTCCAGCTCTACTTCCTCCAAGGAAGGCATATCAGTGGGATTCATTACACCTTCGAAATATTCCTTCCACCTCCCAACTATATCCCCATTTGAGGTCAACAGTTCTCCATCCCAGCTGTAAATAGCTTCTACCCCTTAGTTGCCTGACGGTTTGCCAGAATGTTTTCAAGGCCAACCGAAAGTAATTTTCCATGGCATCACCAAACTCCTCCCACCCCAGTTCTTTTGCTTCAGCAACTGCCAAAGCCACATTCCACTTAGCCTGCAGATACCTGCCAGCTGCTTCAGGAGTCCCATCAGACAACCAAGCTTGGAACACCTCCTTCAACCTGACAGTTCTCTTTACCGCTGGTGTCCTCCACCGGCTTCGGGGATTGCCACCATGACATGCACCACCAACTTACAGCCACAGCTCCGCACAGTCACCTCAGCAATGCAGTCCCCTATGGTGCTCTGGTGTCAGGAGCATTTATGAACATCCTTATGTTTGAACATTGTGTTCATTGTGGACAAACTGTGGTTAGCGCAGAAGTCCAATAAC